TTTAACACGCCCCATCAAGTAAACAGTCACGCTGTTAGTAAAATAATGATAATTCACTTTCCTATTGTAATGCAAATACACATTAAAAAAATTAAAAAGTTTTAGAACTATGCCGCATTTATCATTAAAAATTAGTCAACAATTTTTCTATCACTAAAATGGTTGTATCTGACGTCAGAGCAGAATTTCGCCAACATTTAAATTTTGCTCGAAATTTTCTTACAATAATGCTTATAGCTATCGAGATGTCCGAAAGACTGTACGTTCGTCCGTCTGTTACGCTTTGGGGGGTACCCATCTCTTATCCACAACTTCTCCTATACCACTTTATGAAATTTAAGGGGACATTCACAGAATTTCCATTACATAATTTCAAAATGCACCTGTCATTTTATATTTTGTTCGGACTCATATTTCGGGTTTCCCTAATAGTGAATCATTGACTTGGCATTGTTTCTATTGAAGGGTACTCTTCTTCTATCTGCAAATCCTCCTATAGTGCTGGATAAATTTAATGATACTTTCACAGATTCTTTGTTACATAATGCCATATTGCACCTCCTATTTTACTCATAGTATATATCTCTAGTTGAATACTGTTTTTAATAAGAAGGTTGAAGAAAGTTTTTTATCATAGCAGTACAGTGTTATCATAGCATGCGTAAATTCTTTTGATTTTAAATATATGATAGTTAAGGACTTGATTGAAAAAAAAACAGTTTAAAGTATTAACATAAAAATAATTCTATTTTTAGGAAGTACACTTTAACAGAAAAAAAAAGATACTGTTAATGTATTCAAAGAATCAGGAATTGTTTCGTTTTTTGAATTTTAAGATAAAATTCGATAGTTTTACTTCCATTATTTAAGAAAAAAAAGTTTTTTGAAGCAGAAAAAAAAAAAGAAAAAAAAAGAAACTTATTTTGATATCTTGCATTAATATGCATGTACGTACAAATAATGACCGGAATATTAAAGTTCACTTAGGCAGGAAATAAAATTAATTTGAGATTTCAAAAATTTAAATATGTTCTCTTGACTTTACACAGCCTGTGAAGTGGGCACATATGGCGACAACTGTTCGGGAGGACCTTGTCCTTATGGTTCTTACGGCTTTGGATGTCTAAGTAAATGTAACTGTAGTGCTGACCAATACTGTGACAGGAGAATCGGATGTGAATACAATGTCACCAGTGGTAATTATAAAGAGAATGATACGTACTCTTTTCCAAATCACTTCATGCATTATGAATGTGTATGTCATTGCATGCATAACTGATGGAACAGCCGTTGCTTTTAAGAAATCTACTGCAAGTGGTTACTGTTGGTGCGTTTACTGACTGATTAACAGCAATTGGAAATTATTCAATGGATGGAATTTTGATAAAATATGGAAAAAGTTACCCTACACTATAAAAAAATCTTTTACAATAATGCCATTAACCTTTGTCAACGGATTATAAATCAGTTATATGAAACAGAATTTATTTTAACAGTTATACATGAAGAGAAGAACAAAATTGCATGACCTTCAACTCGTCGTGTAAATGTAACAACGACGGGTATTCAATTAAGATAACAACTTTAGAGAACGTGACTTAAAATGCAAAGATGTAAATGTTACTACGAAACACACTAAGAAACTTATTTGTCAAAAACACGATATAAATTTAGATAAAGGGCTATTCAAGAACTAAATTATACTGTAATGATGCACCTCATAGTAACAGTAAAGGTGTAAAATATAAAAATCAGATACGTACACTGTATATGTATGTACATGTCGCTTCGATACTGTTATTGTTAGAGGTTACCTACTCAAAAGATATTATACAAAGATGAAAAATGTTTAAAATCTGATGGAAAAATATTTTTAAAAAAATTGAATTACTAATTTGTTTTTTCTAACCTGGGCTAAATCTCATTGTGGGACGTGTACACCGGTACTTCGGATGCGAACGTATAAACTGAGGTCCCGTGTCGCAGAAGAGATCCCTATCTCTTCTATTAGTAAATAATGTAAATATTCCATATACCATCATTATATGAATAACCACCAGGCGCGGATCCAGGATTTTGAGTTAGAGGGGGGGGGCGCCAAAATTAGGCAAGGGGTCTGGGGGCCGCCGTGAGGCCCCCAGTGGGTCCAGGGCAAAGCCCTGGTTGGGGCCCAGGGGGCGAAGCCCCCGGAAGCTCCTGGGATCCTAGAGATTTTGAAGGGTTAAAATGAGGTCTACCAAAGCCCTGGTGGGGGCCCAGGGGACGAAGCCCCCGGAAGCTCCTGGATTCTAGAGATTTTGAAGGGTTAAAATGAGTTCTACCAAGTAGACATATTTGATTTACGCTAACTTTGACAATTTTAGGGGGGGCGCGCGCCGGGTGCGCCCCCCCTTAAATCCGCCACTGACCACTAGTGATGTTTCTTATCTATTATAAATTCCATACTTTCGAGGATACAAATATAACCTTCAATTGTAAAAGTCGGTGTCTTCCCGCAAAAAGTCATTAATACTACTGACTTTCATTAATAAACAATATCCAATTGCCAATCATCAAGAGTACATACATTGTAAATAATTGGAAAGTAGTAATATATTCTCATTGGCAATTGAATAATGTTGATAAGTGAAATACTACTACTTTATTTTAAACATTGTTTCTTTTTTTCCTTGCAAATAAATACATGTATGAGACTTATAAGAGTGTAAATATATGAATGCATAATATGTGACCTTTTTTCATTACTTTTGTGTTGCTATAACAGGTGACACGTGTAATTATTTTCATTAAGTTTGAATATGTTTGAACATATAATTGCCTAATGTAAAATACCATTTAGACTTGATGATATAAGTGTCCAAGCGAGGTTTGAAGGTTAATGATATGTACAAACAAGAAAATAACACGATATAGTTTTTGTAGTTAAGATTTATTGTAAAATTGTTTGCAAGTTAATAGATATATATTTATAATTGATTTTAGGAGTAGAGGTTAAAGCAACTGGAATGAATCCAATTGCAGAGAAATTTTTATTCGTTATCCTAGGAGTTTTTCTGGGAGCAGGACTCGTCTTGACAATTCTCTTCGTCCATAAGAGGTCTATTCTTTATTCCTTTTTTTTTCTTTTACTTTATATTTAATATTAATGAATGTCTGGCTTAACATAACAAGTACAATAACACCCTTCAAAGAATAAAAAAGGCCATTTTTACAATAGATAATGAATGACATAGAAGAAAACAATCTAAAAATGTAAACTATAGTTAAAGTTGAAACGATCATATACGGTTTCCTAAAAGTAATATTATTAAAATCATATGTTTTTGAATAATTTAGATATTCATGTCTTTTTAAAGACTCTCATGGTTTGTTACTGTGTCTTTTTCAGAATAAAATATCAAAGAGAGTCCAGGTACCACGATACTTTGTTTCTACCTTCAGTATATGACTATCCGTTTTATGGAAGAGAAGCCGAGCTCAATATTACACGTGCCGTCAACGATATTGTTCAGAATGACGAAAGCAGCAGGAAAATCCTGCAGGGAACAGGCCGGAAAATTATTACTCAGAAACGATTTGACATATTTTTATAATTACACTTTTTTTTTCATTTTTATGCATGTTTATTCTAAAGATATTATCTATATGTGAATTTCTGAATATTGATCTTACAGAAAAGGTAAATTATGTGGCACCGAAATAAGAAGCGGTAAATATTTTTCAACGATTAATTAGTTTCTTAGTATTAATGCTAATAAACATTACCATTATTTTTTCTCTTCTTGCAAACAGATGATGTTTCATATATAGTGAAAATATTCTATTCTTTGATGAATAAACCTTAGTCACCTACATGCGGTGTTTATATCTTTATCTCTATCTTGATCCATAGTCAAGAGTATGCTCTATTTATGAACAATTATTATATTTCTAAATCGAGGGAATTATTGACAAACAAGATGAGAATATCCACGGACTGGTTTGAACAAAATTAAGTCAAAAATATGGTCAAATGAATTTATAGATCTGCGTAGTCTCTTGACGCACCAAGAGGAAGACCCAGTGACCTTACTGATCACACCAGGGGTAATAAATTGCAAACATAGTCAAAAGTCTAAAACACCTCTGTCCATCAACCAATGGACAGATGCGTTTCTGGTTTTACGTGTATCGTTATACAAACAGAAAACCCACTGAGGCTCCCCACCTGCTTAAGTACATGTCATTCATAAGGGAGCTACAAAAACTTCATGGGGATTCAGCGTGGCGATCATACGATGAGTCTTTCAGGAAGTTAAAGGAGACAGTAGACCTTCCATGGCAAAAGCCAGTGGAGGAACTACGTGGTAAATCATTAGCTGTTTCCACAAAACAATCTAAGGGGCAGCCGTTTCGTGGGAAACAGGTGGGGAGAATCGGTGGGGTCAGATTCTGCTTCGCCTATAACCAAGGTAACAAATGTAAGTCAACCCCCTGTCCATTCACCCACATTTGCCAAGCCTGTAGAGGTAATCACCCCAAAATTAAATGTAAATCTACAGAAAAATCTGAACATGATAGGACCTCTCCAAACCCCAGTAAAGGCAAACAAACTAAATGACCATTTAAGGGGTTATGATGACCAATTGAGAGATTATTTGGTAAAAGGTCTCAGTTTCGGATTTTCCCTGGGATGTGAAAACACTCCTACAGCGTCTTTGTCAAAAAACCATAAATCAGCTCAAAATCACCCAGAAATCATACAAGATCACATACAAAAGGGCCTTGAGCTCCATCGTATAGCAGGACCTTTCCCAAACCCTCCTTTCGATCCATTTGTGTCATCCCCTTTAGGTGTCATACCAAAATCAGAACCAGGAAAATTTCGTATTATTTATGATCTTTCTTATCCAAAAACAAATTCTGTTAACACCCATATTCCAAAAGAAAATTCAGAAGTTCATTATGACTCAATTGATTGGATTATAAATTTAGTGCAAACTCATGGCCTTCGGTGCCTGATGGCAAAGACCGATATTGAAGATGCATTCCGAATCATTCCAATTTGCCCAGAAGATTATCATCTACTAGGGTTTTCTTGGCAAGGAAAATATTACTTTGACAAATGTCTCCCAATGGGGGCAAGTAGTTCTTGCCAGATATTTGAAAAATTCAGTGTAGCTCTACAGTGGATACTACAGTCAAAATTCGGGGCTGGGGGAATGTCACATATTCTGGATGACTTCTTCTTTATTGGACCTGCAAACTCTGAAAGCTGTAAGAACGACTTAACAAATTTCCTCTTTCTGTGCAAAAATATTGGTGTCCCTATCAAAATGTCAAAGACACAGACTCCAACTACAAAAATTATAATCTATGGTATCGAAATTGATTCCGACAAAATGGAAGCACGGCTACCAGCGGACAAAATTAACAAGATTAAAATGCATTTGGTAGAACTTTTACAAAAAGATCAAACTACATTACGTGAACTTCAATCTCTGATTGGTTTACTCAATTTCGCGTGCTCAGTAGTGGTCCCAGGGCGTGCTTTTCTCCGACGCATGATTGATCTAACTTGTGGAGTAACTGAACCTGCATCACACATTCACTTAACTAGGGAAACAAAAGCAGATATGGAAACATGGCTATCTTTCATAAGCTGCTTTAACGGGAAGTCAGTTTTTTCCTCAAAAGTGGTTGTCCACAGAACACCTTACCCTTTACACAGATGCATCAGGGTCATTGGGCTTTGCGGCGATTTTAGGTAATGAGTGGTTTGCATCTCACTGGGACTTTTTGCAAAATGATTGTCAAATAGCAGTCAAAGAGTTATTTCCCATTGTACTAGCTATAGAAATATGGGGGAACAAAATCAAAAATAAAAGAATCCTATTCATGTCTGACAATATGGCAGTAGTACAAATCATTAACAAACAAACATCAAAAGACAAAACAATTATGAGATTAGTGCGCCGCTTAGTTTTAGCAACCTTAGAAAACAACATTCATTTCCGAGCAAAACACATTCCGGGAAAGCATAATATCACTGCTGATCGCCTCTCCCGTTTTCAATTTCAGGCAGCTTTCCAGTCTGCACCTCACTTAACCCGCCAGCCGACACAAATCCCTCAAGCCAGTTTGAACATTTGAACTTATCAGCTTGCAATCTTCTGTCAAAAGCTCTTACAAAGAGTTCAAGCGCAGCCTACAAAAGATCATGGGACATGCTAGTGAGCACATTTCCCTCCATCAAATCCTTGCCTGTCTCACCATCTACATTATGTAACTTTATTTCTTACTTATTTGACAACGGATATTCTCCAAATAGCATTGCAACACATGTATCAGCAATTAGTTATGTACATAAATTGTTAGGGACAACAGACCCATCGGATACATTTCTGGTAAAAAAGGTCATGCAAGGCTGTCACCATTCAGCCCCGTGTAAAGATTCACGTTTACCAATCACAGGTCCCATTTTACACAAGTTAATTCAAGGGCTTCAGTGCTCTGTTTTGAATCAGCATCAAAGAATTCTTTTAAAGTCAATTTTTCTTCTTGCTTTCAATGCATTTTTACGGCTAGGGGAAGTAGTAGTTAAGGCAAAAAGTCTAGCTAGCACAGTCATCCAACGAGAAGATATTTCATTTACCCTAAACGAGAACTCACCCATCGAAGTTGTAATTGTCTTAAAACACTTTAAACAAATAAAACAAAGGACCTCTTCCAGATCCACTTGAAGGCCTTAAAAGACAACAACATCATGTGCCCCGTGAATGCCTTGTATGAATATGTGAATATGTTTGGTCATCACACCGGGCCTCTTTACCAGTTCATTGGGGGAAACCTGTCCCATATTCTTTTGTAGCAAAACATCTTCAAAATACAATTCAATTCATTGGTCTCAATCCTGCTCTGTACAAAGGCCATAGTTTCAGGATAGGAGCAGCTACACATGCTGCAAAGTTAGGTTTTTCGGAAAACAGTATTCAAAAAATGGGCCGATGGAACTCAGATGCCATTCGTAAGTATGTACGCCTCGAAAGCTTTAGAATATAGAAACTTTATCAAAATGCAGAACTATCTCTGTTGGAATAAGAAGTAAGTACAGGTTAACTACTAATATGCAAGAACTTTAAACGGGGTGTTTTTTCAATCCACCAGGTCAGAAGTTAACTGCTAGGGGATTGAAAAAACCAATTATTACAAGTGCACAGGTCAGAAGTAAACTGCGGTGCAACTGAAACTATACACAGGTCAGAAGTAAACTGCTATGTGACTAAAACTATACACAGGTCAGAAGTAAACTGCTGGTGTCTTAAACTATACACAGGTCAGTAGTGAACTGCTGTGCAAACAGGTGTTCATGTAAATACATAGTGATGTTTATATTTGGAAAATGTTTTTTGCCTTGTTATTCACAGATATGTGTAGTGCCATGTATTAATCTAGTCCCAAATTTTCCAGCTGTGCCTGCTGGTTCTCATGTTTTGCTATTATAAATAATGTAATGTATGGGTCAAAATGCAATGTTGTGAAAGCTAGTCTCCAAAAATTTACATCTGGATTAATTATCCTTTTTTACAGAGTGAATTGTTTAACTGTTTACATTTTTTTTTCTTGTATGTTAAGATTTACAAAAACTATGTGTCAAAATAGTGTTGATATTTGTCTGCATACCAAAACCATAAGTGCATTTTGTGTGGTCTACCCTTAGATGGCTAGTCCACTTTGGTTGGCGTTTTTGCAAACGTGGTTTGCCTTTTGTGGGCTTCTGTTTTTATTTTTGAACGCCAACTTTTTGCTTGTAATGTATATATGTTTTACAATTTTTTCTGTTATTTCGTACATTATTTTGACATGTAACAGGGGAGATCATTATACAACTTTACTTGTTTATGTAAAAGAATATTTGTATAAGGTTTTTTGATCTCCCCATTTATTGTATTCTTTAATACTCATTGTCATTTTTTCAATCACACAAATATGGAGTTGTGATTTTTATCCAGGAAGAAATGGAAGGTTATTTAGATCTCAATAATATGTAAACAAGCAGGTATTTACATAAAATTTAACATGTATTATGAGCAATTGTCTCAAATATTAGGTTTGCGCCTTGCCAAGTCGCCTTGGGTGGGTGGATCCAATTTGGCAATTGGATTGTGGCGTTTATTTTCTTTCATCCCACCGTTTTTTGATAACAAGCATATCAGTGCCTGCTTTTTGCTATATTCTGTTTAGGGGGTCAGATTGCATAATATGATATCAAAGATTTTTGTATTCTTTCGAAGTTTTTTCTAGTCTTGTCTGACCCCCTTATAATATGTATATATTTTTGTTTTACGTCATTTACTTCAATAAATGATTTTTTTTTCACTTTCACTACTGTTGTTATTTTATTTTTAATCCATAAAAACTAGCTCAGTTGACTTGGCTTCGGCCTGGCATTAATAACAGAGGAAAATAAAGTTATTTACTTTAATTTGCTACCCATTGCTATTAATAGTGGCACTATTTTTGCATTTTATATTGATATGAACAAACAGATAAAAGCATTAGCCATATTAATGATATGCCAAAATAACAAGTAAAGTCAAGTATTTGCGTCTGCTTAAAGTCAATTTCCTATTAGGAAGTTCTTTCCTTGTGTAAGAGATTTCAATTGTTATATTAAGGATTTATCTTTACCTATCATTGAGTTATATTGATATTACACTTTCTTATTCTTTATTATTTCTTACGTATGCGTACGTTTACTTTATATTGACAGTGAGCAAACCAGTCGAAATTTATTTTATAAATTATATATATTTTAAATCTTAGTTCAACTGTCACAGTATTTTGGTTCATCAAAATAGTTTTTTTCTTCACAGTCCAATCCCTTTAAACGACCGCTGATAACAATGAATGTAGTCAAGTCATATTTTTCAACGATTTGATCAACCGTTTTACTTTTAGTATTGTTTTAATACATGTGTATTTATTTGATAATATCTTTGAAAATAAAGTGTATTTATTTGTTATAAATTTTGTAAGAACTGCTTGGATTATATTTTATTATATTGATATTTGAATATTTATCTTTCAATTGGTTGATATACCAGTGAATAAACAAATCTTTATTTCGTGAATATAGCGTTATGAACAATTATTGCTTTGCCTGAATGTTCCGTGACACGGGTTAGCACGACACAGAAAATATGTTTGCACAGTAGTTGTTATTCAACTCAGCATATTTGACTGACAAGAAACCCGTGTTCTATCCTAATTAATATACATGTTCCTATACGGGGATGATTTTTTAAGCTTCCAATAGAAAACCTGAATTGGTAACGTAGAAGCATATATAATGTAAGTAAATTGAAAGATCTAGAAATATCCAGGCATGGTAAAACCATCCTGGACAACTTAAAATAAGGTGTCTGTTAGGAATATTTGCCGAGTATACTAGTATGAAATATAAAGAAAATGTTTGTGCTGGGTTTGTGCAAAACTGAAAAAAATGAAATGGCAGTCAACAGATTGTTGATAGAAGATTATATCTGAACACGAATACCCGACGACAAAAATTCTGGAAGACTACTCAGTGTCACCAAAAAGATCAAAAAGTCTTCTCTAAAACAAACAAAGACATGAACGATCAATGGATAGTATTTTTATGCTCACGTAACCGAAGATTCGTGGTTATATAACTTTTGTCCGTCCCCTGTCTGTTTGCCCGCAGACACCGTAACCTTCGCCATAACTTTTGGGTGTATAGCTTTCATATTTCACAGGTCTGTATTTCATGTGACAAGAACCTCCCTACAGGTACCACTAAATTCGAGCTCGTGACCTTGGAGTCTGATCCCATTTTACAAAAATATTCCGAACTTTAACCTTGGACGTCTTTTATGAATAGTCGGTGCTAGGGCTTTCATACATTAAATTATATGTGTATTTATTGTGACCTTTTAATAGGTATAAAATATTTGACCTTTTGACCTACCCATCAAATGAAATTAATCTAAACAATATCTATTGAACCATAATAACTAGGGCTTTCATTTTTTCACAATCGTATTCCCTTTGACAAGACCTTTCTTTGAATACAAACAATTTTGGCCTTTACCTTTGGTGTTTGATATGCATCGGAAACCTCAACCCTTACTATTAGCTGCCAAACGGGGACATCAGTGGTTTACAAACGTATCGTGTTTCTATTTTAAATTAAAGGACTTTGTTATTATATTAGGAGTGAATTCCCAATAATCTTACCGAAGAACAGAAGAAAATCATATTCTCAAATTGTATGCTCAAATACCAGACTTTTTAAACATATACTAGTATAGGAAGAAGCAAGAGGAAAAGAAAAAGTCAAACATCGCAAAAGATTTATAACTTTAAAAAAGAAAGATTATCTTCGTGAAAACTGATGTTCGTTTCAAAGGTAACATGGGTAAGGTTTATCTGACATATAATAGTTAACTGAACATATTTAACGGTTTTAACATAATGCATGCAGTATTCCATATCAACGCGTTTAAGACTGGCTGGATCCTATAGCATTTTCAAGCAGTTTTTCAATTCAGTGTCCTTCTCTCCAAATTTACACAGTCAAAAATGGTTTACATAAATTTATATAAAGTTAAAATGAATTTTATGTGAAAAATTTTCAAGAAAAAGAGAAATGTTAAAATTTACGTCAAGCGATTTTGACATATTTTTTATATGAACTTACATGAAGAGTTTATCGCATAAATATGGTGCAAAGAAAAATTCACTTGAA